AGTCTAAGACATGACTATGTGAGAAAATTAATCAAAGATGAAATAATTTCACGTACCTATGTGAAGTCAAATGAGAATTTGATTGATCCGTTCACTAAACCCTTCACAAGGGAGTTAATGTGAACAACAACTAGTAAGATATGGTCAAAATTCTGTAATTAAATCCACCATTGACGGCAACCCTATCTAACTGTACTAACAAGTATACTTTGAGTTCAAAGGGTAACATTCGATAAGTGGATAGATTCATCACTTATTCACAAGTGTTGGTTGTCACAAATAGGAGGATTGAGTTTCTATAACTCTTAATAAAGTTCAGATTGGTGAATTAAGTATATCTAAAAGTGACAAAGATACCGCAAGAACTTTACTTAAATAAACTTCGACGTGGTGCTGCTTTAATATAGACTGGAGCTTCCCTCTTAAAGTTTATGAATAGAAGAAGCACAATGCCATAAAAGTGCTAAACGAGATTATGTGAATCTTGGAACACTTAATACTTGTGTATGTGATTTCACTGATATAATCATAAGAAATAATAGGTTCAAAATGTTCGCGCTACCTTGTTTTTCATTGATTATTTTGTGAGATTTATCCTAAAGTTGGATTCAAATCGAAAGATATCCATACACAGTGCATAAGTGTCATTAAACTTAAGTTTCAACTCATTTTACAATTGAACAAATGGGGGATTGTTGGTATATTATTCTAATGACAATTGAGGAGTGATTTTGGAAATGATGGAAGCGATTAATCATGAGAAAAATAAGTGAAAATTAAACTAGAACAAACAATAGTGAAGGCCCAAAAATGGCCTGGGTGAGGCATGTTGCAATTTCAGCGACCATTTTGTTGAATTGAGCGGCTGTCCAGTACAAAAAATTTGATCGTTGGCTGTTTGAATTTTAGTGTTGTTTTGTGGTGTTTCACACTCTTTGGCTTGGTTTTTACACATTTTTGTGCATGGTTATTATAATTATATATATATGAGTGGTTTTCATGTTGAAAAATATATCACAAACATCAAATTCATTCATCAATATCCAAAATCAAGGATCAAACCAGTTTTATACAATTTTGTTCTTTAATTCATATTTTCAAGTTTTGATTGCTTGATTCATACTTGCATTAAGAATTGTTTACTTCTACAAACTATTTGTCATTGAAGCCTTCAAGTACTTACCCTGGTGGCAATAGATATCGTCTGAGGACAATGATTCATAATCGTGTTCAAACCTTCTATTTTGATGGTTTCTTGTTGCTGATTTTATTTTCGTTCTTCTTCAGTTTTGTTCAACATCATTGTGTAAGTATTATAGATTATTCTTTTTCTATACTAGTTTATGACCATAAAGAAGTTACATTTCTCATTCTATTTCATGGACAGAAAACTAACACAAATTTTCTCATTCTTTTCATTGTTTATTAACATTATGCCATGCCGTGTTATCTAGTCCTATTTTAACCATAAAGAAACGCGTTACCAACGTACATTAATTTTTTCTAGATGACCAGAAAAGTAGATTAATAAGATTGAGTTAATTGTCACAGTAGTCACCGAACCTATGTTTGTGTTTTTGATTGTTCGCTGAAATTTTAAGATGTTGAGTTTTGATCATTATAATTGTCCAAAGTTGGACCTTACTCATTACCTTAACATGCATTCCAATTTTTTTTACGAAATTAGTAATGTGACTAATGAAATGCACACGTGGTGCTCCATCACGCCGTTAACAAATTGGATATTTTCGGTTGTTCACTAAACTTCGAAAAATGTCTTCAACTGCTCACTAAACTTTGAAAAACATATTCGATTGCGAGTGGCTAAACGAGTTCGAGTCAACGATTCCTCGAAAAATAATTATTCAATGACACAATAGTTAAATTCAATTTGATCCAATAAACATGTGTTCTACTCTACATGAATCACATGCACAACAAAATTTAATTTTAATCTCTATCAAACAAAAAGTTAGGGGTTGTTTGTTCCACATTATTTCCTCATTTGTAGAAGAATTCCGACCGTTAGTGGACCCCTATACCAATTTCATGGAGGAATGTGCACCAACGGCTATATTTCTCATTTTATGAAATGGAAAATGTGCCTCAAACGACCTCTTAATATATTTGGGTATCCTACCCGGTCAAGAGAAGAGGGAAAGAGTAATTTGCTTACTTCCACCCTTGGTTGGAATAAGAAGTCCCCTAGTTAGCCCCTCATGGGATGACCGAATTGATGGAGTAGGTGAGTACGGAAGCCTTTAGTCACGAGCTCGATTCCCCTTACCAACACTTTCTTTGTCAAGCCTATCGCATCAGGATTGTCTAGTACGGTTTATCTAGCTGACGTGGTTTGTAGGCTATTGCGTCAGTCTGAGAGTTTACCCAGTGCACACTCAAAGTAGGGGTGTAAGCGGTCCGATTTTACCGATTTTTGACAGATTTTCAAACCAAACTGTATAAAACGGTTTGAGAAAAATACAAACCTAAATCAAACCATTTTGAACGGTTTGAAAAAAACTCAAACCTAAACCTAAAGGTTTGGTCCGATTTTAAACCACCGGTTTCGCCATATAATTTTTTGTCCGTCTACTTTTATGTCATTAATTCATTGAATTTAATATATATTTATATCTCACTAGTAATAAATCTAAAACAAATTAAGCCCCTGTTTGAACCAAATTTTTGGGACAAAAAAATAAAAATTTGGACCGTTATTCCACAAGTCCAGCCGCCTTTGTTGACCTGTTATTTCATATATGGGACCCAGCCTTTTCTCCAATAGTCAATTTTCTCATTATGATGATATGGAAAATATGACTCAAACAGAGGCTAAATATATCTACTATAAATTTAAATATCAACTAAATCTAAGTGAAATCACAATAAAGTAAAACATAATTTTTTTTCATTTTTGTTCACCTTTTTTAGGTTAATGACGATTCAATAACGTTACAATAAAAGTCTACTAAACTAGATATAAAGTCCAAATAACATACTGATATCTAACAAGACCTCGTAATCATCATATCTGAAAAAATGATACTGATTAAACAAAGAGAATAACCAACCACAATAATAAAGCAATTGTTTATAATATCTAAACATAACAATTACACAAATTTATGTTTGTATGATGTTACGAAACACATTTAATTTCATATTCTTACCTTAGTTTGCTCCAAAAAGTTATTGATTTGAAACTTTATTTTTAGCAAATATTATCACTGAAAGTCTAGGATCTTTTTATATCCGATTTGATATAATGGATTTCAATTCAACTTTGAAAATGCGTGAAAAATCTGAAAAAGAAGTGTGTGGTATCGGTGACTCAAAACTTTGTTGGATGTCGACTGGAGTTCATTTAAATTTTGAATAGGAAAAAAGCTTTTGATAGATTATATTAGTTTTGAAATTATTAAATATATATTAGGATTATTGGATAATAATAATAATAATAATAATATATCTGTATTAGAAAATTAGGAATTGATAAAAATACCCACAAGTGACAGAACTATTGAATTTTACATATTTGGATGAATTTTCAAAAAATTTCATTTTTTCATTTTTTTTTATTTTTATATATTTTTTCGCCGATCCGATTTGGTTTTAAACCGCAATTAAAATTCTCAAACCTAAACCAAACCATTTTGACCAGTTTGGTTTGAGTCAAAACCATTTCGTTGGCCGGGTACACATGGCACCAAATCGACGGTTTCTAAAATGTGGTTTTGGTTCGATTTTTCGATTTTGTAATTTTTACTTACAGCCCTAATTCGAAGAGTAGCGACTACATGTTCTCCTATCATAAATAAAAATAAAAATTCCCCTCTAGTCGGCAACATGAATATGGACTTTGTTTTGGCCAACAAAAGAACTTTCATGGTTTCTCAAGTTTGACCTTTTCCAACTTTAGAAATTAGAACGTTTATTTTCCATCATTAGGTATTACAGTCCAATTATTCTCTCTGCATTTGAACTTTCACATGTATATACTGACGCTATGTTCTCATTCTGTTTGATGCATTGCTACATCTACAAAGATCCAATTGGACATTGGACTTTTGACTCAACTCCTGTGATAAGATCTTACCCTATGTTTGAACTTCATTCTCTGAAAAAAAAATAATAATAATAAAAAAAAAATTCTTAAACAGTATTTTGACGTTATTTGAACCACATATTCTTTAATAAAATAATATTACACCTAAATCCAAAAAAATTTCTTATTTTTTAATCACACATTTTCCAACAGATTCAAAAATTCATTCCTATGAAAAGAATGAAACTCAAACAAGGGCTAATTTAGTCATTCTTACATCTTTCCAAGTTTTTTTGTCTCAACAATATTTGAAGCATGTTGCACGAAAAAAATAGATACCGAAATAAGAAAATATACAAAAACAAATCCAATCATGTGTTTGCCAAAATTTCCCGACCCATAAAAAATATCTTCCTATTCTGTTCGAAGTTGGGCATATTGGAGAAAAGAAAAAGAAAATTACAAAAGAGCACCGCTTGCCGACCACCAAGTGACCTGCATAATTAACGCAACGCGCACCTGAAAAAATATAAAGAAAGTGGATGACAATATAATATTGGGACCCATTTCTCAAATCATTTTNATAATTAACGCAACGCGCACCTGAAAAAATATAAAGAAAGTGGATGACAATATAATATTGGGACCCATTTCTCAAATCATTTTGTCAAATCTAACCATCTAACCGTCAATCATTTGCCACACTAAATTATCGAACGGATATGATAACATCTATATGGTGCATTAATTCCGAAGAATTCTTGATATTTTAATACTACATGAATTAATGCTTAATCATATATTGTTTAATCTATTTTAACTAAAAAAACAAATTAAACAAAAATCTATTTACAAATAGGGTTTTGCTACACTAACATAGGGATTGACGTAAGAGATGATCGAACACACATTAGGAGGGTCAGCATTTTAATTCACGCAGAATCCACACGCAAAATGTGAGGATCGGTTAGCCGTTATGTCAACGAATTCGATCACTTTAACTTAATTCATACAAATATCATCAAAATCTCGACATTATTATACTACACAACGGTACAAATGGATCCATAATAAGTAAGGAAAATAATTAACCAACAAAAATTGAAAAGAGAAAAAGAAAATTACATCAAACGGGGAATAACCTAATTGTCAAACGCATAAATTTCAAGCCTTGAAGCACACAAACTGGTGGTAGTGGGGGTAGCCGTGGTGGCTGTAATGGTAGTGGTGCGATTTCTCTTGATCAATCGTACACTGAACATGGCGAAATTCTTCAACATGGCAAGGAATATTAATTGGACCTTTTTGATCAAATCCATATTCATTTTCAGCCACTTTAAGCAACTCGGTGAACAGCGGGTGGTTGATATAGATCACCGGAACAATGAACCGCTGCTGCTGCTCCTCCCCTTGCCCCACCGTTATCGCCACATACCCCTTCGGTATTTCCTTCTTCCCTTGGTGGTGGTGGTGGTGGAAATGAATAATCGGCATGTTCAAATGGAAATTCAGATGGGTTTTATCTCCACTACCCATCTCAAGATTAAAAAACACGGAGGAACAAGAAAACCTTAGATTTTTCTTGCAGAAAGAGAGAGATCTCAGATGTTACAAGAAAACAAGTGAAAAAGGCCAAGGATCTGATGCCGAAATGGCAAGTTTAAAGATTGTAAGAGAAGAATTTGTTAAGGACGTTGGAATATTGATCATGATAAGAATATCCACGAAACTGAAAGCATATCAACAACTAGATTGAGATTCAGGAATACAGATATATCTATATATATAGACATACACTGTGGGGAATGCTTTGCCGCTGTAATTTGACTTTTGGGTTTCTTAATATATACGCTAAGGTGTTATCTAGAGAGAGGAGATCTAAAATAGTCGTGTGTAAATAATCGTGTGCAAGGCATAAGCGTCCGTTTGGCCAATTAAATTTAGCCCCTGTTTGACCCCCATTTTTGGGTAATGAAAATGAGAGGAGTAGTATTTTTTTGAAAAATAAGAAGTTGAAAAAGAAGGAAAAATTTTCGATTTACGTGTAATATTATTTTATGAAAGATTGTGTGGTTGAAAATAAGAGAAAAAAATAGAATGTAATTTAATATGGGCCAAACGGGGGCTAAATTTCATTTTTTTCTTTTCTATTTTCAGTCATACAATTTTTTATAAAATAATATTATATGTAAATCGAAAATTTTTCCTTCTTTTTTAATTACTCATTCTCTAAAAAAATATTATTTTACTCATTTTAATTTTGAAAAAATAGGGGCTAAAGACTCGTTTGAGTAGTTTTTTTGAAATCATTTTCAATTATAAATATTATTGAATTCATAATTTTTTTTCCTACCAAACAAACTCTATATTAAATGACTTAGAGTTGCAGGCTTCTTCCACGAGATTTTAATTACCAAAAAACCTGACCAACATTCCTAATGGATAGGTGGATTTACGGGAAACTATTCAAATCATCGTTTACCTCCGTTAGGTAAATTTATAATTAATCTATAAAAAAATAATTTATGTAAAATAAGTCAATAATAATGAGAAATAATTATAAATATATAATTTAAATTAATATTAAATTTGACCAAATTTATAAATTTATGTAATCATAATGTGGTATTAATAAAAATATCTCGATAATATGCCCTATGTTTTTTCATTTATTTATTATTATTATTATTTTATTATTTTAGAAACACGAATTAATTTAAAAAATTATAAATAATTAAGAGTCATATTAAGAAAAAAATTACACATCGATTAAATATCGAAATAGACTTTGTCATTTGTACACTGAATTTATACACTTTGATTGACATTTACATTGTTATCAACAATGCATTAGATAAAAAAAACTGTTTAAAATTTAAACTGTTCAATTATTTAATGACATGTGGCAAAGTATAAATCAAAGTGTGCATGTATCAAAATTTTACTGAAATATAGATCAACATATAAGGCGGCTACTCTTCATGGTGGGGCCACTCACCACTGCCCATCTTAGTACAATTGTTGCTAATAAATATAGGCAGGGGTTCACCCTGGGGCACCATAATATGTCGTGAAGGGAGAAGGGGGGAGACGGAAGTGCTTCCTTGGCTAGGGCTGGGATTTTGACTACTACTCTTAAAAATGTTGATTCTCTAATATGGAACCTTTAATATTAATATAGTATTAGAGCCAATGAAATTTCAACTAGCAATTCGATCCAATTAAGATTTAAAAAATGAGCAAGCGAATTTCAAGATTGTTTACACCAATGAGCCATTATTCTCGGGATATGTTAAGGGATAAATCTCACATCGATTAAATATCGAAATATAGATTACGAGCATTCCCAAGAGTGTCCTTAAAACATGAAATACTCTCCATTTTAAGAAGTCAACATTTAAAATCATACTCTGAGAAACTCTTTAAATTAACATTTTAATTTGAATAGAGGATTTGGCTCTCCAAATTTGGAGAATCAAACTCACTCTCTATAGTTAAATGCATTTAAAATGTTTCAATCTTCAATGGGGAAAAATAATAAAATAATCTAGAATAAAGCTAATTAAAATAAAAGATAGAAAAAAGTAATAAATATATTTTTTAAGTAGTAAAATTAAGTGTTAAATATAAAAAGCTTGTTGAAGTACTTTCAAATTTTAACTCTCGAATTTTATATATGCTATCCAAATGATGGAATAAACTTTTTTTTTTAAAAAAAAAAATAGAGAGTCTCTTAATTTTACTACTCTCAAATAGTATTTATTATATTTCTCCATCTTTTATTTTTAGTAGCTTCCCTTCAAATTCTTATATTATTTGTTTACATTGAAAATTGAAATAACTTGAGTGCATTAAATTATAAAGAGTGAGTTTGGAGAGCCAAATCCACTCTTTATTTTAAAATATTAATTAAAAGAGTTTTTGGAGTAAAATATTAAGAATTGACTCTTTAAAATAGAGAGAATCTTATGTTTAAAAATATATCGTTTCGAGGATTTGAACTACTCTTCAATCTTTTAAAATGGAATTTCAAATATTAATAAAGACGGGAGCCATGTTCTTGTTCTCGTCCCGAGTTTTAGACTAACCAATAAATCTTGTCCCATTTGAAGCAAAACATCACAGGACGGAATGAAACTTTTGGACACCCTTTAAGTTAAACACAAACTGTAAGAGGGCATTTTGGCGAATGGAAATGCTCATCTTTTTGAAATGTAATGACCCTTCTTTGTATATAAATTTTGGAGGCCCAATTCGTTACTTCTGATCTAATAATAGGCGAATATGACAACCACGCTACTTTAGAACAAAAAAAATTAAAAAATAACATTAAAAGATTCACAAAAAAGTAACACATTATTCGCAAAGTGACATATGTTATTACGTTATTTATTTTTATTAAATAGGATGATAGATGTATTACAACTTATACACAGAGTACATGTATTTTACTCTCATCACACCTTAATGCCGTCCCGTCCGACTTCGCTTCTCGTCGAGAACAACATATATGGTCAATGGATTCAAAAATCTCAACATTAAAAGCGTAAAATTATTATTAGATTCGTCATTATTTTTCTTCACTTTCTTTTTTAAATGTCTCAACTTATTCTATGCGGATTATTCTTTGAAATTAATCAAGATTCTTTCAATATATACGCTAAGGTGTTTTCTAGACAGAGGCGATCTAAAATAGTCGTGTGTAAATAATCGTGTGCAAGGCATAAGCGTCTGTTTGGCCAATTAAATTTAGCCCCTGTTTGACCCCCATTTTTGGGTAATGAAAATGAGAGGAATAGTATTTTTTTTGAAAAATGAGAGGTTGAAAAAAAAGGAAATTTTTTTTCGATTTACGTGTAATATTATTTTACGAAAAATTGTGTGGTTAAAAATAAGAGAGAGAAAAATAGAATGTAATTTAATAGGGGCCAAACGGGGGCTAAATTTTATTTTTTTTCTCTTCTATTTTCAGTCATACAATTTTTTATAAAATAATATTATACTTAAATCGAAATTTTTTCCTTTTTTTTCAATTACTCATTCTCTAAAAAAATATTATTTCACTCATTTTAATTTTGAAAAAATGGGGGCTAAAGACTCGTTTGGGTAGTTTTTTTGAAATCATTTTCAATTATAAATATTATTGAATTCATAATTTTTTTTCTACCAAACAAGCTCTATATTAAATGACTAGAGTTGCAGGCTCCTCCACGAGATTTTAATTACCAAAAAACCTGACCAACATTCCTAATGGATAGGTAGATTTACGGGAAACTATTCAAATCATCGTTTACCTCCGTTAGGTAAATTTATAATTAATCTATAAAAAAATAATTTATGTAAAATAAGTCAATAATAATGAGTAATAATTATAAATATATAATTTAAATTAATATTAATTTTGACCAAATTTATAAATTTATGTAATCATAATGTGGTATTAATAAAAATATCAATAATATGTCCTATGTTTTTTCATTTATTTATTATTATTATTAATTTATTATTTTAGAAACACGAATTAATTTAAAAAATTATAAATAATTAAGAGTCATATTAAGAAAAAAAATTACACATCGGTTAAATACCGAAATAGACTTTGTCATTTGTGCACAGAATTTATACACTTTGATTGACACTTGCATTGTTATCAATAATGCATTAGATGAAAAAACTGTTTAAAATTTAAATTGTTCAATTATTTAATGACATATGGCAAAGTATAAATTAAAGTGTGCATGTATCAAAATTTTACCGAAATATAGATCAACATATAAGGCGGCTACTCTTCATGGTGGGGCCACTCACCACTGCCCATCTTCGTACAATTGTTGCTAATAAATATAGGCTGGGGTTCACCCTAGGGCACCATAATATGTCGTGAAGGGAGGGGGGGAGACGGAAGTGCTTCCTTGGCTGGGGCTGGGATTTTGACTACTACTCTTAAAAATGTTGATTCTTTAAGATGGAACCTCTAATATTAATATAGTATTAGAGCCAATGAAATTTCAACTAGCAATTCGATCCAATTAAAATTTAAAAAATAGATCAACATATAAGGCGGCTACTCTTCATGGTGGGGCCACTCACCACTGCCCATCTTCGTACAATTGTTGCTAATAAATATAGGCAGGGGTTCACCCTAGGGCACCATAATATGTCGTGAAGGGAAGGGGGGAGACGGAAGTGCTTCCTTGGCTGGGGCTGGGATTTTGACTACTACTCTTAAAAATGTTGATTCTTTAAGATGGAACCTCTAATATTAATATAGTATTAGAGCCAATGAAATTTCAACTAGCAATTCGATTCAATTAAAATTTAAAAAATGAGCAAGCGAATTTCAAGATTGTTTGCACCAATGAGCCATCATCCTCGGGATATGTTAAGGGATAAATCTCAAATCGATTAAATACCGAAATATAGATTACGAGCATTCCCAAGAGCGTCTTTAAAACATGAAATACTCTCCATTTTAAGAAGTCAACATTTAAAATCATACTCTAAGAAACTCTTTAAATTAACATTTTAATTTAAATAGAGGGTTTAGCTCTCCAAATTTGGAGAATCAAACTCACTTTCTATAGTTAAATGCATTTAAAATGTTTCAATTTTCAATGTAGAAAAATAATAAAATAATCTAGAATAAAGCTAATTAAAATAAAAGATAGAAAAAAGTAATAAATATATTTTTTGAGTAGTAAAATTAAGTGTTAAATATAAAAAGTTTGTTGAAGTACTTTTAAATTTTAACTCTCAAATTTTATGTATGCTCTCCAAATGATGGAATAAACTTTTTTCTTAAAAAAAATAGAGAGTCTCTTAATTTTACTACTCTCAAATAGTATTTATTATATTTCTCCATCTTTTATTTTTAGTAGCTTCCCTTCAAATTCTTATATTATTTTTTTACATTGAAAATTGAAATAACTTGAGTGCATTAAATTATACAGAGTGAGTTTGGAGAGCCAAATCCATTCTTTATTTTAAAATATTAATTAAAAGAGTTTTTAGAGTAAAATTTTAAAGATTGACTTTTTAAAATGGAGAGAATCTTATATTTAAAAATCTCTGGTTTCGAGGATTTGAACTACTCCTCAATCTTTTAAGATGAAGTTTCAAATATTAATAAAGACGGGAGCCATGTTCTCGTCCTCGTCCCGAGTTTTAGACTAACCAATAAATCTGGTCCTATTTGAAGCAAAACATCACAGGACGGAATGAAACTTTTGGACACCCTTTAAGTTAAACACAAACTGTAAGAGGGCAGTTTGGGGAATGGAAATGCACATCTTTTTGAAATGTAATGACCCTTCTTTGTATATAAATTTTGGAGGCCCAATTCGTTACTTCTGATCTAATGATAGGCGAATTTGACAACAACGCTACTTTAGAACAAAAAAAATTAAAAAATAACTTATTTTCAAGCTTTTTGGATTTTTACTCTTACTTAACTTCTTGAAATTTGCCTTTTACTTCTTAATAGAGCAGATTCACAAAAAAGTAACACATTATTCGCAAAGTGACATATGTTATTACGTTATTTATTTATTTATTTTTATTAAATAGGATGACAGATGTATTACAACTTATACATAGAGTACATGTATCCGTCTTCGCTTTCTCGTCATGAACAACATATATGGTCAATGGATTCAAACAAAAATCTCAACATTAAAAGGGTAAAATTATTATTAGATCCGTCATTATTTTTCTTCACTTTCTTTTTTAAATGTCTCAACTTATTCTATGCGGATTATTCTTTGAAATTAATCAAGATTCTTTTAATGTTTAAAGCTCCTTAATATTGTAAATATATTTTGCTTAAATGTAAAACTTGAATACTCGTGATATTGCTAGGATCGTCCTCAAGTCATATACCCTAAATCTTAGATTTGGACATATTTAGATCTTCCAACATGGTGGTAGATGGTGATGGTTGGGATGATGAGTGAATGGTGGCAGCGACAATTGAGGTGCAATGGTAGTGATTGATGGTGCTTGTGGCGGGTTCATCCTTGTTCCAATGTTAGGGTTTGGCGTAATGCATGATTCCAACAACGGTGGTGCTTTTGTCTTGATGGGGATGGTTTGTGGCGAACAATCATGCTATGGGCACGTTGCGGTATGCAATGAGGTGTTCAAAATGGACACCTGGCGCCTCGGTATTGGCCGAGGCGCCTGCCACGTCGGGGCCCACCTGCGCCTCGGCCAATACCGAGGCGCCGGGTGTCCATTTTGGACACCCCGTTGGATATCTCGATGTACCACAAGCATTATTTTTTTGGCGAAAGGCAATGACACTGGGGTGGGAACGATGGAGCTGGAAATGATGGGTAGAATTTTGGTGTTGTAAATGGTAGGAAATGTATATCGGACGTGAAAAAAGTGGTTGGATTTAAAGAAATTTGTTAATTAGATAAAGATCTTAATAAAAGAAGGTATTTATCATTAACTATTTAAAACGGGTACGTTTCATCAATTTATTTTTTATTTTTTTAAAGTTCGGATACTTGTTCTAGTTTTCTCCTAAATTCATTATTTACTTTACGAGTAATGCTATTCAATATCATTAGTGGCAAACACTAGTTTAAATGACAAATGCATAACATTAAATGATAATTTTATTTAAATGCAGTGTCACATAATTCATTTAATCAAACCATCAAGTGTGATTATTTGAACTAGTGTTAAATAACATTATTATTTCCTAAATGGTCGGTCCGACCCATTAGCACACCTATTTATTGTGCTCACCAAATTGGAAGTTAAGATTATAAATATTAGTAAGATTCTAGCAACTGGTTCTTTGTAGACAATTTCCTCTTATCAAAATTGAAAAATACTTCAAAGTATTTTGTTCGTGCTCATCATCTAATGTGACAACCAAGATCACATTATTTAATTATTTAAGACACATTTTGAAATGTTCCACTATCACATAAATTATCAAATCATACTTAGACTCTGTTTGAGCCACATTTAGGAAAAATAATGTATTTTGGAATAGTAATTTATTAGAAAAATGTGTGATTAAAAATAATGAAAAAATTTCGATTTACATATAAAATTATTCTATGAAAAAATATATGGGTCCCGTTTGTTTCTCATTCTTTGACAAAAAAAAATGAACGTTATTCAGATACGGATTTAGGGGGGCTGGGCTGTAGTCCTCCCCCACTCAGGTCCAATAGCTTTTTTTAAGGTATTTTTTTATTATTTTTTTTTGTGAAAAAATCAGTTTTTTATGAATAATTTTTTTTTCGCATAGTAGCCCGATTTGAAATTTTGTACTCCGATCTTGAATCCAATCCTGAAGTCATCCCCGCCGTTATCCATCACATATAGTTACCATATTTGAGTTCCTCTCTCTTGTGTGAGACCCATAATATATTTTTCATTCTCATTCTTATAAGAATGAGAATCAAACGAGGATGGTTAAATATGAGTTTTGAAATTTTGTTTTGGAAAAATGGGAGCCACACATAGGTTTAAAATTGTATTATTACTCATACTTTGTGTATCCCCACACCACTCTCATGCAGCTCCACACCAAAATGTCCCATTTGAAAATAAATCCATCAATTTATTACACATCCGAATACAAATAGATTAATCCATCAATTTAAGTCCTCAATAGATTTTCCGCAGCAGTCTCCACTCTCAATCACATAAAATTAATTCCCCATTATTGCAAAGAGAAAATAAATAATATTAATTAAAAAAACACAAAAATATATATATATATTTCCTTCTCACAGAAGGGGGCCGAACCGCGCGACGGATACTGAGTCAGCGACCATGGCCAACAACTCATCATCTTCCCCCACTCACCGCTTCATCGGACTCCTTCAACAACCCGAATTCGACCCTTATGACCCGACTCATAATGTTCCCAACCCGAATCCCCTCGAGCTCGACGAAAGCGACGTTTTTTGGTTTTCCACCGCCGCCGAGTCATATTCAAATTTGAACTCACCTTCTCCGCCGTTGTCCAGCCACGGTTCGCCGCCTCATCACCGTTCCCAGCTCCGACGTCAATTCAGCCTGACGAAATCGGGGCTGTCCGCCGCGCTGTCGGAAGACCACCACCACCTCATTAGGCGGCAATCCACTCTGAATCCGTCCACCGCCGCGAAAATAATCCCGCCAGTGGTGCGAATCGACGGTGCTCAGGTGAAATTCCACCAGTCTGCACCGGTGAACGTGCCGGTATGGCCGAAGAAGATTAATTTCAAAAATCACAATAATTATATGGAAAGTTTTGATGAGGTGGATGACGAAGAGGAAATGGTGCCACCTCACGTGATGGTGGCCCGATCTCACGCGACCTTCTCCGTCTTCGAGGGAGCTGGAAGGACACTCAAAGGTCGGGACTTGCGGCGCGTGCGCGACGCCGTGTTTCAGAAAACAGGTTTTCTTGATTGAAAGGAAAGAATTCCCAATATATAAATTTAATTATCAATATTTATTGTAATTTGCGTTACTCAATATTTTGATTTATATTTCAAATGAAATTTTCTGCATCTTGTTAGAACAACATGTGTTTGACTGTATGATCACATGATGTTTGGCCGTGCTTAGAAGTCCTTTTTTATTTTGATTGTATTATCACAACATTTTTATATCTAATTTCTCCTACATGGATGTATTTTGCATGATTCATTGTCTTGTTGGAGGATATAAATTGTTACTTGCTTTCGATCAATAGGGAAAAGATTTGATTTGGAGAGAAATTTATAATGTATCTTTGTCTTTTGCATTCGATGAATATTTTAGACAGAAAAAGGTGATCTGGGTATTTTAAGTGCTTGTTTGGTAGGATTTTGTTAATTGATTTTTTGACCATTAGACATAAAAGTGAGACTTACCAGAGAGAAGAATTCAAAAATGATGGTTGGAATAATGAAATAACAGTAAAAAAAAATTGATGTTAATTGGATTAAAATCCTTACCAAACATGCTCATAGTTAGATAGTGAACTGAACTTTAGTTGTCGATGTAGATACAGATAGTTATGTAGAACAGATGTTGAAGTTTTAAGTTGAAAATATCATAAATGTTCATATTGAGAATTCATATGTATAGGTGTGCTCTAGTTATCTCGATATTTTGAGAGAAGGAAATTTCCATTTGTACAAAATTCTACCAGAACAGACATGTGTGGGCCTCATGTATGATAAAAAAATGCCAAAAAAATCACCAACCCACGTTCACTGTGAGTTGTCCGGACAAATTCTGTGGCTTTCCTTTCTGTAAGTGCAGCACGGCTCTTGAGGGAATCTATTCAGGTTGATAATGTAATCAGAATTCATATGTATAGGTGTGCTCTAGTTATCTCGATATTTTGAGAGAAGGAAATTTCCATTTGTACAAAATTCTACCAGAACAGACATGTGTGGGCCTCATGTATGATAAAAAAATGCCAAAAAAATCACCAACCCACGTTCACTGTGAGTTGTCCGGACAAATTCTGTGGCTTTCCTTTCTGTAAGTGCAGCACGGCTCTTGAGGGAATCTATTCAGGTTGATAATGTAATCTTGGAATTACCTTATGTTTGAAAATAATAATTACTTATCTGTTTGGAATTAGACGAAGCTCGAGGATAGTTCCCAAAGTTCTGATGTTAATGCAGAACTCAAATCATAAAATAATGTTCTATGGACCTAAATCATCAAAGAGAATATTACCATTTACCTCCTGTTAACACACAACTTCTACCTTCATTATTTTTTTTCTTGAGTTGTTAATAGCTATCCTTGTTGATTTGAGATGATTCGCTCCATGTGAATCCTCTGTTTCGATTAACTCATATGATACGTTTTGTGAACTAAAGATGGCTTTGGGAGAAAAAGTTGCGAACAGATTTTACTTTTCTTCACAAACCATTCTATGAGTTTCAATTTTTTACGGTGTGATAGTTTGGGAGCAAAGTTTAGAGTACGTTATTCTTCTGATTGTATCGCACCAGAAATATACAGAGTATGGAATGAGTAAGAGGGCAGTAAAGCTATTCAAAACTCATTTTTCTCAACATAACGGTCATCAGACACAGGCTAAGGTGGAACACCCATGGCTGTACACGAGGGTGGTGCGAACGATGATTGGGTGCTATATATGCACGTCACATAAATAAAAATAGTATTTTCTTATGTTTGATCATTTGAAATGTCAAAACAATCCCAGAAAACATTTCGATCATTCTGAGGTTCTATGATCTTAACCTTTTCATGCTTGTTAATGGTCATTTCAATTTCAAGATGAGATCGGATACAAATTTGTTGAATATTAGACGAGATTGAATAAACCAGATTTTAACTTTTTTCATTCATAATATGATCAAATCAATTATTAAATAATTCATCTTCAGAATATGATAAATTAACATACAATTCATGGTACTGAACAAATCCATCAAGTGCCTTCAAGTTCTTAGGAAGTTGAAGGTAGGCAAAAAACTCATGCAGATGGGAGGATTAATCTTGGCTAAAGCAAGAATAGACGAAGGAAGAATCCACAATCCGTCTCCACAAATCAAACCAGATGCAACCGCTGGAATCATCAAACTAGCCTTCGTGTTGTTTACCTTGTGCCAAATGTAGACAATCAAGCTGCCAACACACATATCAATTGCAAAGTTAGCTCCAACTAGAAAAGGCACGGCCATAGCCATCGGGAGAGGAACCCATTTTCCAACCTTCTCCGGCGCCAAGTCTCTCAACAAATTAGCCAATATGGCGAATGTGAAAAACCCATAGCATAGCTGCAAGCAATGCTGAGGCAGAGCGGAGAAGCCTTCCTCCCCGAGAATTGCCATGTTTCTGTATATGAGAGCGTAAGGAGCTTTGTACTCTCCATCTGGGTTCCCCACGTCAAAAGCCCTGTAAAACAGGACGAACGTGAGAGGAGCAACAATGCAGCCAATGGCAGTCCCAATCCCTTGGCTAAGAACCATTGATCGAGGTGAAGTGAGCGTAAGATAGCCAGTCTTGAAATCATGCATCAAATCAGACGATATGGAAACAATGGATTTTATCAGACCACATCCAATGAGTCCTGCAACTACACCATTTTCTTTTACGACCAAAGCAGCAAGCACAAAGAGAGCCACTTTCCCATAGTTATATGCCATGTTCATGTCGGTGAGGCCAGCACTGTAAGCATTACAAAAACTCAGGGATGGTGCCAGAACATGAGCAGCCAAAACATAATGCCACTTCAGCTGAGGAAACATAATTGGAATTATGAAGATGGAAATAACGGAGAATAACATGTATCCAATACATGCTACCCACAATGGAATGCTCTCTCTTATGAACAATTTATTTCTTTGGAGATCATTGGGTTGTTGATTCTTGTTATCTGAAACAGCAGTATGGAAAAAATTAGTCAGAACAAAATTTCTATTGAGTGTGAAACTTCTAATCAGAACCTTTTCCTATGAATTTGAAGCCGGCTACATGAATCACTCTTGATCATTACTGTTGGCTTAATCGAGTAACAGAATATTAGATACTTTATAGATACAAGACATAATAACATTGTGATTTACTACTAAATGTGGAGAGCTGTGAAATGAGTAAACCAGCAAGTAGCAATAGGCTGAGTCGGAAAGGGTGACGAGAGACATTATATGACAGAAGTTACCTATTTACCTGCTTTAAGATTCCTTTTGTTGAATGCAGTATACATGCTTCTAATGGTAGAAAACATTGTCTTGAGGAAATTGTAGAGACCATCACCAAGGATTAGAGCGATAGAAGTGAAAACCTGCACAGGTATATGAATACGTAAATGCGACGTTTATTTCAAAATTGTGGCAAGTCAAACAGAAAACCATCCTCAAACATGGAATTTCCAGTCTATTTAGGACAATGGTGTTCAATTTAGACCTTGTAACCATTTAGACTCTTCATACTGCTTTCTGGTATAGTTTCAGGAAACCAAACTCCCTTAAGTTCGCTTATTATTGGCCACATAACCCCGTACGAGAGCATGGCCCCAAGAAGCAAAGATAAATTCACAAGATGGGAGCAAATCATTCCGGCTCCGATATAAGTCATGCTGAAATCAAAGTAAAATCTGCAAAATTCGGTGACTTTCTATGACTGGTGATAGAAAAATTATGGAATGTGAGATTTAGGGCAGAAAGGTTCACTTAAAGAAAATAAGTATTCTTTTTACGGGTCAAAGTTGAAAATTATTACTTCTTTTACTCAGAAGAATCATACTCTTAAACTTGCTTAGAATAGATGTGAAAGTACGCACGATTGGTTCCAAGCTTTCAATCCAAAGGCGGGGAAGCTGTTGAATCCACATTGTCCTCCACCAGAATAGAACCATTGAAAGAAACTCCACAGGAAACTAATTGAGAAAAATTTCATAAACCCGTGAACTTGCATCCTGAAAATTGAAGAAAAAAAGCGAATTATAAATTGGTTTACAGTAGAATTTCATATGTTATGGCAAGAAAATAAATGATATATTACTTGGCCATTTGGTCTCCTTTAAGGGCGTGGAATCCATTGATGAGAACAGCAGTGGCAGTTCCACTTGGATAAGGTAATCTGTAATCTATAATCATGATCTGCAAAATAACAGAGAAGGAATGAATAACAATAAAGAACTTGATAGTTAATTAAAAAAGGAAAAAACAATGGTCAATTTAATGTGATCAAACATGGGGAGAAGAATTTTCCATGGTCCATTAAACCATCTCGTTTAATATCTAAAGCAGTCATAAAAAGGAAACACGCATGTTTACATGTATTTGCATACATGAAGATAGGATCTGTTTTATAATAAAAAACCTAACACGTGTAATTTTTTTGAATATGTGGTAGCAAGATTTGAACTTAAGATCTTTACATGTGCTAATACCCTTCTAAACCACCTTATTTGAAACTTATCCCATAAAAAGGGGACAACTTATTTTATATTAATATCATCAGCAAAATCAAAGTGTCAATTGTTGAACCACTTCATCTAACAACTTAAATTGTAAGAGAGAAGATGTTATTTTTATATATTTAAACTTTAACAAGCCCCCCACATGCCCAACACGTGTACAATTTGCTTAATCTAGTAACTCATCGAAGCGCTTAATCCATCAGAAAAGACACTTTTATTTTTATCAAATTGCCACCTTTTCTTTCAGAGGAGTTAGAAAAAGCACTATAATGGGTCCGTTGCTTTCTATTTTAAATTTATTTTATTTTATTTTATTTTTTATTTTTTTATTTTTTTTGCACATCATAAAAATTAGGAAGGGTGTTGAAGTTACCTTTCTGAGAGGAACCAAAGCCAACAGCCCTATAAAGCTAACAACAAAAAGAAAACCAATCATCCAATCGAGGCCAGGTTCTTTGTAACTCCCAGGGGAGTTTCCCTCTGTATCAAGTCCTGCCTGTTCATATGTTTTCTTGTTCAATCCCAAAAGATAAGACCCGAAGCCACCTGTTAATATAACACATTCAATAATAAGAAATTGATTGATTTGATAGCAACAATATCCAAGCACATTATTGTGTACCAAACATGCTCTAAATGAACTACGAAACTTAGTCTTTAAACATGAAAATTGAAGCCAATAAATCAAAGGTAAAAGATCAAATCATTAGAAATCCAAAATCTCCCAACCTCCCACTGCAATGCTATAACATGCAACAGCACAAGTCTGAATAATTGTATTCTCTTGTCTAGTGAATGGGGTTGTTACAAGATTCGCCTTTTGCAGCAGGTTCGTCCATGTTCGAATAAACACAAAGGCAAGAAGAGCAGCCGAGACATTCAGGTTTGGGACGAGCCCCGTTGTAAGACTGAGCTTCATTACTATGGCACTATAAATGATACCAATAAGTAAACTTGCTACAATCCCTCTTATTGTTATCTGTTTTGTCCACGGAGGAATTCTCTTAGAATCCTCGGGCTGATCTTTCGGTTCCTCCAAATCCTCCCTCTCAATTTCCACCATTTCTTCCCTGCCACAGTTTCCCATTTACAAGAACTCAATCGATTACCTTATCTGTCAATTAATAATCATATCAGCTATTTCAAAGTCCAATGTATTAATAAATTCTTGATTTGTTAAGAACTATAAAGTGGGTGTAAATGGGGACAAAATTACTCAAAGGAATAGGATAATTTGTACAATATTAAGAAGAATGATCCTATCTTTCCATATATGAAAGAAGCATCTCACTTGAGCAGCTCTCTTTTTAACCAATGAGAGATCAGAGAAATTGAAATGCCATCTTTATTCTGAAAATTGTAAGATAATCCAAGAGACCCAAGAAATGAAGGAAAAAACCAAATAGAAAATAATCAACTTTTCCAATTTCATTAAATATGTGAATAAATTTCCACATGCCCCAAACTAATTTTCTATCTCCAATCTAATATTGACCAAACTAGAATAACATATGCATTATAAGCTGTAACAATAAAAAATTAATGCAATGAATTTATAAGTGCTTACCAAGATGATAACTTTCAAGATTGAAAGGACTATTCCATGAACTGCTTCGTAATTGTATTCGAAAAATCAATTTGACCTTTTGTGATCTTAGAATAAAGGGTACGCAAGAAAAGCTTTGCTTTGACTTGCTTCTCGTTGACTCTCTCTCTATCTCTATACATATAGATATTTATGAGAACATACCCTAAACAGGGTTTTCACTTTGTGGAGTGTAGCGTGAACATGGTGCACTGAAATCTGAGAGTTTTCCAGCGACGGTCAATTGATAGAGCTCATTTTGTTGTCGGATTCTCAATCGGACCTCAATGTTGACGAACTAGAATATTTGATCCAATAGCTATAAAGTTATCAAAAAAATTGAAGTATGTCCCGAAATTAAGAGCAAAATAGTATCTCGCCCGGTGATGACAAATTGGCTACTTGGCTCAACTTGAAAAAAGTTCGAGTCAACTCAACTCGAAGTTCGGTTTCACCAAGCCCCATCTTGGGGTGGTAGGCCGAGCTTGAGCCTAAGCCAACATGTGGACCCGCAGATCGGCTCGAGAGGAAAAAAAAAAAAAGGCAACGCAGGAAAAAAGGGCTCGATTCGATAAAGATCAGCTCGACTTGGGCCAAAAAAGACCGAGCCTTGAGTTTCAGCTCGTTGATCCCCTACTCCCACCTGTCATTATATTTATGCAATTTTAATAAAGAAATAGTCCCCGTTTGGCCCCCTTTTTTCAAATGAAAATAGGTGAAATAATATATTTTTGAAAAATGAGTGGTTGAAAAAAATTAAAAAATTTCGATTTACGTGTAATATTGTCTCGTTTGGCTCCTATTCCATTTTTCTCTCTCTTATTGTCAAACACATAATTTTCTATAAAATAATATTACACGTAAATTGAAAACTTTTCCTTTTTTCAATAACTCATTTAAAAAAATTACTATTTCACCCATATTCATTTTCACAAAATTGGTGGGTAAAAAAATTGTGTAGTTGAAAATAGGAGAAAGAAAAATGAATTTTAATTTTATGAGGGACAAATAGGGGCTAAAATTATTATAGAATCATTATGATGCATTTACATGTCCAACCATGTGAAACAGAAAACATCACTTTTCGTTAAACCTATTGAAATATTTATTGTCACATTAGACAGATAATTCAACCCGGATGTTTTGATAGTGTACACATATTCAAAGTTGAAGAACTCTTAAATCTTTATGGTCTTTTCTTTAAATTAAAATCATTCGTCAATTTACCAAGTTACCTTCTTGTAAGTAGCTAGCATAATCATTGTAATAAAATCGAATCAAATTGAATCGGGGCTAGTCTGAAACTAAGCCGCCAAACTGTTTCAGGCATCTCAACTTGGCCCATCGCCGTGCTAACTCGTGGACAAAAGATGCTAAGAATTGAAATATTCGTGTCCTTTTATTAAGTAAAAAAAAAAAAAAAAAACACAGAATATCATAGAATTTTGATATCTATTATTTAGACCCTGTTTGGTACAATTTCTATTTTACTTTTTACTTTTTTGGAAAAGTTCTTTTTGAGAAAGCTACCTTAAATTTTGTTTGTCATGACTCTCGAGAAATCAAAATGAGATTTTAAGATTCAAAAGTTGGTTTAGACTCATTTAGCTAATTATATGAATGTACATCTTATTAGTTTAACATGACTTCTAAAAAGTCAAGAAGAGAATTTGAGATCTAAAAATCACTTTTGGACATATTTGACTAATTTTAAGAAAGTGCATCTTCTAATTAGAAGAACTTTTAGAGGAAGTTGGTATGACATGATTTTCTCTAAAAGCACCTAAACAGAAATTAAGGCAGTTTTTTCCACCAAAGTTTCTTCTATGGAAAGTGAAAGTAAAAGTAAAAGACATACCAAAGGGGTCGTTCTTTAGAAGAGCTTTTAGAAAATATTCGATCAATGTGATTTCATCTAAAAGCACTTTTCGAATAGAAACCCTTTTAGAAATTAATTTTCAAAAAGAAAGTTAAGATAACTTCTTCAAAAACACTTCTATATAAAACAAAAGTCATGGCAAACAAAGTTGTAGCCAATTTTGTTTAAGAACTCTTTTAACCCGACAAAAAAACTTGCAGATATTTGACCGAATATTTTTAAAAATAATTTTTTAATCTCAAAATCCATTTTTGACTATTCAAAAGCCTACAAAACGGATCCTTAATATTGTAAAAATATTATCTCACTATAATAGCAAGCAAGCCACCAAGAAGTAATGAGTAACATAGTCTGTCAATAAATTACTTATGTCCATTTTTTGGGTATTGTGGTAGTCAAGAGCAAGTATTAAAAAAAAAAAAAAAACTCGATGTAAACTAGTGAAATTAAATAAACAAACGAAAAGGGGAAAAAATTCAAAGTTTGAGGACTAAATTGTAAATATTTAATAATTGATTTGGATTGCAAAACGTTGATTGAAGATCTTACATAATCAATTAGATGAAATTATAAATCAAATGATGAAAATTGCACAAGGAAATAACCCAATTGATAGAAGGATGGAAGTTTAGAGACAAAAATATAAATTCCCAAAACTTCAAGTGGCACACGTGCGCCGCCCATGATGACGTTCACGCACTGGCCACTTTTAGAGAACCTGAGAGTAGAAATTGCAAGCGGCGCATGCTCGAAATGCACGACCTCACGTTGGAAGGGATAATTTTCGACAAACAGACCAGTTTTCCTTTTTTGCTACAAAATATTTGAAATCTAATTTGGCTACTAATAACCCAACATTTCTGAAGATCCGAACTCGACCTCATTACCCCGATCTTGCCTGCCTACGAATCTCTCGAAGGTGAGGTCGGGTGTATTTTTAGTTCGGGCTCATGGTGGAAGGTCGGGCCTCGTTTATATAAAGCCCTCGATCCCCTGGCGTGGTTCCTGGGGAGAACTATCTTATTCCACCTACAATTCTCACTCAATTAACTCCCTCCTCAATTCAAACTCAAGTAGAATACTTTGAAATAAACACTAACTCCTTATCCTACGAGGATAAGGACCACACATGGTTAAGGCCTTCTAAGATTCTATAATCAGCACCTATAAAAACATAACTCGAGCTCATTTCCAGGTACGTCTTTCATTATTTCCAATTCATAGCCTTATGCACTAAATTCCCTATTTGACTTAAGCATCGGAGGGGCAACGAGCACACACTTCATTGCCTTTGTTTTAGGTATTCGAAGACCGTTTGTGTTCACCCAAGTTCGGAGTTCGATCATCCAGTTTGAGATCTTTCGGGTACTTTTTTGATAGCATCACTGGCGCCGTCTGTGGAAAGTGCAACCAAAAGTCATGGTCAATACACGTTCAAATCTTCCTCCAGCTAGCTCATCCGTCCCGGATAACCCTCCTCATCCTGAGGAACGCCATGTCCCTCAAGAAGAATCGTCAGAGATAGCAGCACCGCCTCCAACTGTTGTTACCGTCGGAGCTTCGTCAGCAAGTTGCTGCATTAACCCAATTGTTAAGCCAGAGAAATTCGTACCCGTCACATACTCCAACCCTTGAAGGTGGTTTTATGGCAAATGCTCAAGCTCGAGTCCCACATACAACTCGTGATGATGGTGGGGTTGGAACTTCGGGTGCACCGCAAATGGCTTCAGGTTCAAGGTCCGTTAAAATGGAATCTGCTGAACTCGCTAGGATTATTCAAGAAGGGATAGCAGTGGGTATGTAACAAAATACTCTGGCAAAAACAGGATTCACCCCCAATAGACCGTTCACTCCAGAAGTTCTCTCATATCCCCTAGCAGACAGGTTCAAATATCCTCGAATAAAGGAGTACGATGGGTCAACCGACCCCATTAATCATCTCAATGTGTACACGGATATCATGAACTTACAGGTTGCACCAGATGCAGTAATGTGCAAGGCCTTCCCTCAGACCCTCACAAACGCAACTAGAGATTGGTTTTCCACATTGGAACCCAACTCTATTGCATCCTCAGATTTGGTCGATAAGTTCTTCGCTTTCTTTGCAAGTAGTAAGTGAATCAGAAAGACAGTCGCATCACTCATACAGATGCGTTAAGGACCCAATGAGACACTTCGTGATTTCATGATCAGGTTCAATAAGGAAAGGCTTCAGATCCTCGATCTACATATCACTGCCGCAGTCTCAGCTTTGACATACGCCATTAAATGTGAAGCATTCAAGATGTCTTTGTCTTAGACTCCACCAAAGTTAGTAACTGAGCTACTCAACATGAGCTGAGAAATAGATTAACATGGAAGAAACCATGGCCCCAAGGAGAGAAGTTTCCTCATTAGAAAAGTTCGATCAAAAAAGGCCGCATGACTCCAATTTGCAACAAGATGCACATCGGGTCAAGACAAGGAAGGACCCTTCCTCAACATCCTTTACCCTTTTGAACACCTCGAGGTCCAACATTCCAATGGAGATCAAGGATTCAAAGGAACTTAAGTGGTCTCCACCCGATACTCGTGACAAGAGCAAGTACTGTGATTTTCATAGGGACCATGGACATAAAACGGAAGATTGTTTCACCTTAAAGCAGGAGATTGAAGCTCTTATAAAAATGGGATTTTTGGGTTCTTATGTTAGCAACGATAAGTACTCAAGAAATAGTCAAAATAGAGACAAGGACCCAGAGGGTCGGTGAAACAAACAACCAACCGCAGGTACTATCAATATCATTGTTGGAGGAACAACCTCGATGGGAGATTCTAGTAGCGAGCGTAGACAATATGCCAGGCAGCCTCCAACCATCTCAAAATCAGATCTTGGTTCTACAGAGGACATCACTTTTGGAGCAAGAGACTTGGAAAGCATATCATTCTCTCATGATGATGCTCTGGTCATATCGACCATCATCGCCAATTTTGAAGTCAAGAGAATTTTGATAGACAAGAGAAGTGCAGCCAACGTATTATCTCATAAAGCCTTTGTTCAAATGGGGATCTCAACGAAACAGCTCAAGCCAGTCAAAAACCTCTCCAAGGGTTTGGAGGTGGGGTCATTTCCCTGAAAGGTATCGTCAGGTTACCTTTAACATTGGGGTCAGAAGGTAAGCAAGTGACGTAGATCACTACTTTTGAAGTTGTCCATACTCCAATGGCCTACAACGCCATATTGGAAAGACCATTGCTCAATAGAATCCGAGCTATTGTCTCAACTTTTCACTTGGCTCTGAAGTTTCCTACAAATAATAGAATCGAGATGGTTCGAGGCGGCCAAACAGTGGCACGATAGTGTTATGTGACTAGTGTTCAAAAAATTAAAGGCGACGCCATGCAAGTTTCAAAGCTCGAGCTTGAGCATGAGAATCATGGAAGACTGGCTCCAGTGGAAGGGCTAGAAGAGGTCGAGCTCAAGCCTGGTAGGAAAGTGACAAGCGGACAGGAGCTAGATACAACAATC